GATCCGACCAGCGAACCCCAGGCTGTTGAAGCGGAACGTGTGCACTTAACCGCTGCGCCACCCTCCCAAACCCTTCCTGACTCTGTCTCCTGACTCTTGTCACTGTCCAGGAAACAGTGCATTCCCTTTTTTTGTTTTTAAAGATTTTATTTTTCCTTCTTCCCAAAGCCCTCCAGTACATAGTTGTATATTTTAGTTGTGGGCCTTCTAGTTGTGGCATGTGAGACTGCCTCAGCATGGCTTGACAAGCAGTGCTGTGTCCTCACCCAGGATCCGAACTGGTGAAACCCTGGGCTGCCAAAGCAGAGAGCATGAACTTAACCACTCGGCCGCGGGGCCGGCCCCCCTGCATTCCCTTCTTGATGTGCTCTGTACAGTGTTTTCCCATTTCATATTATTTTCCTTACTGACACGTTTTAGGTAAGTTATGAATTTAATAGGCTTGGGAGCCTTCTATTGTATTACACTGTTTATTATAGGGTGGCCGTATGTCCAGGTTTGCCTGAGGTAGTCCCAGTTTTAGGCTTCTTATTGTGGGCTTCCTTTCCTGTGTTCTGTTTTGGGTGCTAAATTATATGTCCTTTTGCTAACTGAGGAAATCCATTCTGAGGGCCAGGCAACTCCATTTCAGTTAGAGCACATTTTTTGAATGTTCATTTGTAAGTTGGAGATTATATTTTTTTAAGTTACTTGGAGTTGCACTAAAGAATATGTCTTTTGGGGCCGGCCCTGTGGCTGAGTGGTTAAGTTTGTGCACTCTGCTTTGGCGGCCTGTGTTGCACCGGTTCGGATCCTGGGCGTGGACCTAGTACCGCTCATCAGGCCACACTGAGGCGGCGTCCCACATAGCACAACTAGAAGGACCTGCAACTAGAATATACAACTATGTACTGGGGGGCTTTCGGGAGAAAAAAAAGAGGAAGATTGGCAATAGATATTAGCTCAGGGCCAATCTTCAAAAAGAGAAAAAAAGAACATGCTTAAAAAAAAAAGGAGATGGTTCAATTATATTTAAGGGAAAAAACGTATGTCTTTTAAGTTAATCAACTGGTGAAAGCAAGCCTACCAAGTATGTGCATAAGAGAGTGCTGTTTTGGGGGTGGGAGAGGGAGGAAGCATGCCGTTTTTAAGTTTATTTCTGTCACTGGCAAAACTAGTCAGCTGCTTGTTGAAAACGTGCCACTTCACTTCTGCCCTCTGCTTGTTCAAGCCGTTCCCCTTCCGCTGGGCTCGCTCTTCTTTCAGGGCTGCGTTCTGTTCAAGTCCCTGGGCTGCCCGGGCGCTCAGTGCTCGCTGCTTCCTCTTCACTACATTCTGGTAGCGGTTATTGTCTTACCAGACATTTGGCACTCAGTCCAAGAACAACTGCATGTTTTTATCAATATTACTCTTTCTAGAGAATAATTTCAAGGACAAGTTCTGCCCCCCTCCCCTCGGCCCCCCAGCACCTGCCACAGTGCGTTACCTTTAAGTGTGAAACACTTGTGGATGGCACACGCACATCTGCCTACGCCATCTTTCCTTGGAGCAGCAGCTCCTCAGTGCCTTATCGAGAAAAGTCCTAGTCAAGTAAGTTTAGAAGTACCTTTTGGAAGTTCATACCGTATAGCTAGTGTAGCATACCTTTATCTGAGCAGGGACTTCCCACTCCACCTTTCTTTTTCCTGAAAACCTTCCACAGAAGCCTTTGGAAAACCCCAGCCTCCCCCGTCAGGACTCTGCACTGACTCGGATACGCCGCCATGGCTTTTGTTACACTCCAGCCAGGTCTTCCCCACCGCGTTCCTGAACATGCCGATTCCAAACTTTACTCAGACTGTTACTACTTACTCAGTTATGAGGAACACTTCTCTCCTTAGCTTTCAGTTTAAGTAACTTGCCTTTGTAAGACTTTTTCCCAAGTCTTTTCACTTATTACTCTTTTTGCAAACATCTCATTTTAGTATTTAGTTATATATTGTAGTGTTTAGTTACTAAATTCACATCTTCCTTCAGACAAGTGTGTGGCTCCTAGGTTTGTTTATGTAAGTATATTTCAAACTAGGTAAATATTGGATCATGTATCAGAAATTTACACTAAATTGACTGAAGGAAATTTTATATTTTAAGGTTATGTGTTTTTTAATGTTAGCAAATAAATTAACAGCCCTCACCTTCTGACTTTATGAAACAGACTGACTACAGCTGTTGATCTGCCTCCTGAATTCATTCACCTTTATATATCAAATTGCATCTCTACTTGTGAACAAATTAAGGATAAATATATGCAGGTAAGTAATAGAAATTTCTGTAAATTTTATAAATACTTGCCAAGAAAATGAGCACACTAAAATTTGTTTCTTGTTTTTCAGAATCGTTTGGTGCGTCTTGTGTGTGTCTTTCTCCAATCCTTGATCCGTAATAAAATTATCAATGTGCAGGACTTGTTTATAGAAGTACAGGCATTCTGTATTGAATTCAGTAGGATACGAGAAGCGGCTGGCCTTTTCCGGTTGTTGAAGACATTGGATACTGGGGAAACGCCTTCTGAGACCAAAATGTCAAAATAATACCTCAGCAGAACCATCCATTCATTGTTCAGTTGTACTGTGATCGCATTTGTAAAACTGTTAAAACCCTGAGTGGATTGCTTAGTCTAACGCATTTAAACAAAGTGACTTTATCTACTTAAAGCAAAGTTTTGCTTTCCTGGATGACTTTTTCCTTTAGATGAATTTTTGGTAAGAACTTGGAAAAATAGGTCTTCTAGGTGTCTTGCTGATGATTATCCATAGGAAGAATGGTTATCCCCAAAAAAGTTGTTGCAAAAAAAGTAGATGAGGTCTTTAGCACTTAAGAGCAAAGTGCTTGTTTTTGTTTAAAACACAAGTTATGGGCTTCTGGTAAGTCAAGAATCCAGTTTTCCTAAGCTTCCCATGTTAAAAGTAGTATTTAACGAGTAAATGAAGACCTTCTTAAGAGTTTCTTGTATTGCCCTTGAGATGAAGTCACTTGAGTGTTTTGAATCATCAGGTGGCGAACAGAAGTTTGATCCTTGAACCCATTTATGTGCACAGCTCTTAACTTCTCATTAAGCACAGTTTGAAGCAAGGACATACTTGGAACTTTATCCTGTCTTCTTATGAGGACTTAGTTGACAACAGAATAAATGCATTTCTTGGGCCTCTTAGAAACCTTTTTTGAGGCTATAATAGCTGGTATAGTTTTCTGGTTTTCCTCTCTTGAGATGTTCATTAGTTCTATTATTAAAGATAGTCATTTTTTTGTTTTAAGGAAAAACAGTGCTTTGGGAGGTCATATCACTGAGGGACTGTCATGTAAAACTGCTTGCGGAGTGTGTCTGTGCCTCCTGCCAGTGGTGGGGCAAGGGACCTGTCTGAGGAGAGGAGTACGGGGCATCGTGTGGCTGTTAGCCCTCATTTCACTTTGGACAACAGTGCCTTAAATTAAAGTTCTTTTTTATGAACTCTGTTATCTGATGTACTTTTTTATTTGATGATGTGATGAAAACTTCCTCATTTACTGAGTATTTTTCAAAGCATATTCTTTATGGGGAAATCTTTCAACAGGAATTACCTTCCAATCCAACTCACAGCAAAAGTTAAAGGACACCAAGCCTAGTGGTAGTGTTTTTTTTTTTAAAAGATTTTATTTTTCCTTTTTCTCCCAAAGCCCCCCAGTACATAGTTGTATATTTTTAGTTGTGGGTCCTTCTACTTGTGGCATGTGGGACGCCACCTCAGCATGGCTTGATGAGCGGTGCCATGTCCGTGCCCAGGATCCGAAGAGATGAAACCCTGGGCCACTGAAGCAGAGCGCGTGACCTTAACCACTCGGCCATGGGGCCGGCCCCAAGCCTAGTGGTTTTAAGATGAGTACAAGTTCCAATCTTGCAATACTGTAATATTACAGTCTTGCAATATTTGTGAAAAAGAAGTATTCCTAGTTTTATAAGACATTTTATATCTTAGGTATTATGAAAGTAAGAGATTTATAAATATGTCTGCTTGAAGGAAATAAGGACCCAAGCTGATGTAATAGGGGAGTGCCTTCAGACATGTAAAATGGCAACAACCTTGATTTCTCCCAGTACCTGAAAGTGGGCGTCACTGTTGTGCATATTAGCACTGGGAAAAGAAACATGAACTTAGTCACATACTTTGTGGAATGGCAAAGTTTCAGCCACTGCCACTGCTGGAAGCAACGCAACCTCAGGCTCCAGGACCTACCAATTTGCTGATGCCATTAAACTGGCCAACAGCAGTGGAACTCATGGCTGAACGAAGCTGATCTAACACATATCTTCTCTGTTAGGCACAGCACAGCCACCTTGTGCTTAGACCACACTTAAGCTCTATGCTTAAGGGCCATTTTAAACTGAAATCACCAACAAAAAGTACAAAGTTTCAGAAAATGTGACACTAAGTAGACAGTGAAAAGGACAGGTGTTGACAGTTTGAGAACTGAAACCAAGGCAGAGCATCCTCTTGTTTAACCTCAACTGGGAACACGTTTCAGGCAACTCACAACCTGTACCACTTGGTGGTGTCCAGATAACCGCAGAAGTGCACATACACTGATGCTGGGGTTACAGAAACATCTGAGTAAGCAAATTAGCAAACGTGGACTCTGCTAGTAAAGAGACTGACTGCTGCTAATTATTTCAAGATCACGGTATTGGTATTCACTTGGAAGAGGAAATACGTTCAAATTTATTTTTGTTTTTTTGGTGAGGAAGAGTGGCCCTGAGCAACATCTGTTGCCAATCTTCTTCTTTTTGCTTGAGGAAGATTGTCACTGAGCTAACATATGTGCCAATCTTCCTCTATTTTGTATGTGGGACGCTGCCACAGCATGGCTTGATGGGCGGTCGGTATGCAGGTCCACACCTGGGATCTGAACCTGTAAACCCCCAGCTGCTGAAGCAGTGTGTGTGAATGCAACCAGTATACCACCAGGCCAGTCCCAAAATTTATTTTAAATAAATAGCTTAGAAAGAATAGTTAGAGAACATTTCATTTAAAAAAAAAGTCAAGATTTACATTTACACCAGCAAAAGGTTCTTCAGTAAACATAAAATAGAAGAAAGTTTACCTGAAATAAAAGAAACTATAATCCTGGGATTCAGTATCTGCAATCAACTTTTAAGTGTAATCACATGAGTTCAAGGTAACTGTCATGTTTTAAAAAATACATCTTGAATTCTGTGGATTTTCTAGTTGCAATTTCTAGCTTTAATATCTTCATATCACCTGTTAAAAATAAGACAGCACTGAGTAACATCTTAGGGTAGAATTCAGAGAAGTTACTTCAATATACATTTTGTAATGATTCACATTCCCATGGAGAATGACAGATCACATACCTATTTTAAATATTTTGAGTGTTATCCCTTTAAGATAACATTTCAAGGGTATGGAAAATTAAGGCATGGGAAGAACTTTTTACATACTGGATAAAACTTCCCAGCCTCTACCTAAAGACATTTTGCTGATTTCATTTTATATCTGATCTGCCTTTTCCTCTTATGCAATCACTACTGCTCTTATGGGGAAAATCCCTAAGGTGCTTCCAAGAGCACCTGTGTCACCCTGGGATTCAATAAGTGTCCAGTCAGCCCTCAGAAGTCCTGGCGTCCCAGGTTTCTCATCAGCCCATAGTACAAAAGCCTACAACTCAGCAAAAAGAATGGAGTGACTGACCTTTTACTTTTTTGAGGAAGATCAGCCCTGAGCTAACATCTGCTGCCAATCCTCCTCCTTTTGCTGAGGAAGACTGGCCCTGAGCTAACATCCGTGCCCATCTTCCTCTACTTTATACATGGGACGCCTGCCACAGCATGGCTTGCCAAGCAGTGTCATGTCTGCACCCGGGATCCGAACCAGTGAAACCCGGGCCGCCGAAGCGGAACATGCGCACTTAACCACTGTGCCACAAGGCCAGCCCCTGACCTTTTTTTAACATAATGCAAATACTTTTTAAAATTTACAACTTATTTTATACTTTGCTGTTAGAATGAGGGCAAATCTCTACCTGCATGACTGATTGTGACATTGTAGAAATTTCACTCGTAACTAGCAATACATGTATTAGTATTTTTGAAAATGAATCGCTTTAAAGTGTTTTTAAAACTTCAAAACCTACATTAACTGGGAAAGGTGTAGGTGGCTTTCCTCATTGGTTGTTGCATCACAGAAGCACAACGTGGGTTAAGCCACAAAACTAGCTTTCGTTCAGGTCAGCATCCTGTGCTTCATAAAAATCACAAAGCAGTTTTACACTGAGCCCGAAGAAACTGCTTTTGAGTAAAACGTATCATTACCTCAGATTCTAGTTACTAATATATACATACCAATTTAACCTCAGCCTTCATTGAGCAAATGAACTTTTTTTGTGGGGAAGATTGGCCCTGAGCTAACATCTGTTGCCAATGCTCCTTTTTTTTCGCTTGAGGAAGATAGTCGCTGAGCTAAATCTGCGCCAATCTTCCTCTATTTTATGTGAGATGACAAGCAGTGTTGGGTCTGCACCCGGGATCCGGACCTGTAACCCCCGGGCTGCGGAAGTGGAGCGTGCGAACTTAACCACTCCGTCACCAGACCAGCCCCCAGATAAACTCTAATGTGAAGACACTGTTGCCAAACTAAGCTATCTCACTAAGGAATTTGGTTACACTGGGTATTTCATCTAAATGGGAACAAATGGGATCCAAATGGAAGTCTATGACTGTTTTTATGATCTAGCATCCTTGACTCAGCAAGGAGATCACAAAGTGTGCAGACAGGTATTTACTACTCGTTTAAGCCCCAAAACTGTCCGAAGGCTCACTGACTGCTTTTCCTTAAAACATGAGCGCTCTTTGGGAATGCCTTTCTTGGAAAGCTGCTCAAGGTACGGGGCTTCCAAGTTGCGGTTACTGAGGTCAGACCAGTGGTTCGCTTCAGGAGATTTTGTCATCGTGTACCCCACAAGAGAGCAAACTGCTGGAGGACACTGCAATTCGGCCTTTTACTGTCATCATTCCCCAGTAACCACAGGGAGCAATCTTTCAGGAAAGGCTGCGCACACTCAAGGTCCCCGGAAGCGGCGCGCAGGAACGGTTACCTGCCAGGGTGCTGCGCGTCTGCCCCGCTCCAGACCGTCCGCTCTTCTGGCCACAGCGCGCAGGCGGCCACGGGCCGAGGAGAGCTCCACACCCACGGACGCGCGGCCCTGCGCACGCTGCTGCGGCTGTGAGCTAAAAAATACTGTTTCTCTATTGTTTGTGAGTAAATGGCCTTTATGACAATTGTTGAAGGAAAATGATTACTGCCATAAATAATATAACTAACCCTTCCCTAAACCTCTCAGATTTACTATCCTTTCTTCATTTACATTCCCTATAATCCCCACATTTTATCAACTTTATGTTTCAGCAAAAATTCTGGTTAACATTTGATCCTTCTTTATGCTTACTTCCATCTACAAAAAACCTAACAAAGGGAACTTTTTCCTTTTGAAGTACTGAAGAGTTGTCTCTTCTCTTGCTAACTTCTCTATCTGCTATTAAAGATGTGTGTTTCTAGAGATGAGGCTACTACAATTCTTCCAATCTCTTCTATTCATAATTTAGTGTTCAAACTTCTGAATTAAGGAAAGCTGTATTTGTTAGCTGCTGATCAAGATTAAGAAATCACACTTCCTTCATCTGTCACAGTATTCTTTTTAAAAGTCAGTTTCATTGGCTACTGGGAAGAATTGATTAAAGCATTTCTTGCTGGTATGTTTCTTCAAATACAAAGTGCAAACAATCTACTTAGTATAGAATCAAGGACATATTTTCCTATTCACAATAAACCACAGAAGGCTGACTCCAAGCATAACGGCTATTATGGAAACCTACTTTGAAGCTGTCTGTTAAAATAAGAGCTCACAGTAAGACAAATTTTCTATTTCAGTAGCTCCTCAAATTGAGTCTGGCCACAGAGTTGACGTCAGTAAAACTATTTGCTTACCAAGTAATTTCACTACGAGTGGCTGGAATCAAAGTGAGGCAAACTGAAGAAAATAAGCTATAGATAGATAAGCTTTCTATCTTCGATACAGCTATAAGAATAAATTTTTAAAAATTTTAAAACTCTATTTTTCTCAATAATCATTTTGACCCACAATATAAAGACATACACAGTAACTAGTTTAGAAGTTACAAAGACTACAATTTCAAGTTCTAAAAAAATACCTCCTTCATCATCCTTGACTCCCACCTCCTAGAAGTGAGAGAACAGAGTGAGAGTGTTTATTTAATCACTTTATATAAAACTCAGTCTGCACGAGATCTCCATTAGCCTGCTCCTTTCACCTACAACTAAGAACACCAAGTGAGTTTTTAAAGAAGACAGATGATTAAACAAGGTCACGGTCAGTAAGTTTCCTTTAAAGTTACTCAAGAAAACTGGTTACTTATTTATTTTGTTACAATAATCAAAATTCTCCATCTATCACCGTTTTAATTGTAAAGTTGCAGTTGGAACCAATATATTCATCATTTACCAAAAAATCAGTCTGCCTACTCGATTTCCTTAACAAGGCAATGAAGAAATTCATACTCATTGCAATACAGAATCTTAGCTTTTTTATTTCTAGAAAAAATGGACAAATTTGCCTCCTCTTCAAGATGTCACAAGAAATTAGGTAATAAAAGGGAAATATGGGAATCCTAAAGTCATCTAATGCTTTTCTCATAATTCCCAATAGAAAACAATAATTAAAAAGTGTTCTCAGGTTGTGAAATCTCTCTATGCAATACAGAGGTGCAGGAAAGCTGCAGACTTCGCTCACCTCATTTATAAGTTTAATGTACTCACAAAGTCCTTCCTCTAGGGAAATTCACGTGATCAATTATTGCATTTAATTACACAACTCCACTTCAACTAGTCTAAAAGCACCCTGGAGAAGCAGAGTTCGCTTCAATCCTACAGCGCCGTGGTAGCTGTCTAGTACTCAGAGCCACCACTGCCCTTTACAGGGGAGGCCTTCCTGGTTGTCCCCTCCCCAATGGTCTGAAACAACATATTCATCCTAACGATATATTTCAGTTGATATATAAAGACTAATCAAAAAGTCTCTTTAAGAATAAAATATCTTAGCCCTTTGCATATCAAATCAGAACCTGAAAAGTAAAAGAATGTACATTATTTTCAAATATACAAACTATGTGCTAAAGTAAAAATAAAGTGTCCTCTGAGTCAAGCCGAAGCTCTGTCCATGACTCCAGCAGTGGACATGTGCTAGCAGACAGGTCCTCCCCGCTGAGGGTCGCTCCTGCCCGTCTCTACAACAAAGCACAAAAGCCAGAGTTAGGTTAGTGGGTTGGCATATTCTAAACTTCAGTTACATAAATGTTGTTACTTGTTTGGAGATTGTAATTCAAGAAACAGACTACAGAAAATTTTAAATGAAATTTACAAGTAAAGATGGCAACCCATTCCAGAGAAACAGTCAAGAAAAATAGATAACCATCTTCCTCACATACAGTATGAGAGGTTTTCTACTATTAGCCTACTCAATAGTAATCTGATCAGCACAGTGCTACAAAGAAAGATGCAGTCTGAGCTGGTGGCATTAGAGTATGTTTCCAAAAGTCAAACAAGTAGCTCTGGTGATGACGACGATGGTGTCACGGCCCATGAAAACAAGAGCTAGCACTTATTGGGCAATATATATACTGACACAATGAGAGAGACCAGTAGGATATTATTCCCATTTTACAGATGAGGAAACTGAGGCACAGAGAGGGTTAAGTATCTTGGAAGAGGGACAGGTATTTGAATCCAGACAGGCTTGTTGACTAAAATAAAGAGTCTAGGTTTTATTAGTGAAGGAGGTTACTCAATAATCAGCATGAAGAGTTTGAACCCCAGGAAAACAGTTCACAGAGCGCTCTGATGGAACGGCTCCGAGGGCTGTGAGTTTAAGTGCAGCTTGTATCTCTTTCACAAACGGTGTACGTGCAGGGAAGAGGAAAAGAAGAAAACCTTCAACTAGACTTCAAAAAGGGATAGAGCACATCGGGGCTTTTCTCTAGATTATACATTGAAGGTAACATAAACAAGAATTTCTCAGTTGTACATGAAACAAGTTCAGAGATGCTGACGGTATTTGTGTGTGGAGGGAGGCAAGGACCAGGGTTGTTAATTACTCCCTCAATCTCTAAGAAATGCAGCTGGAAATGAGAGCGAGGTCCCCCTTGATCTCTTCCTGCTGTGGATCTGTCCAGCTGCTGTCTTCAGTCATGAGACGTGCGGCTGCAAGGTCACTCTGACACAGGCTGAAGACCGCCTGCACTGCTGCCTCACAGCATGGCACGGATTTTACTGTACTGGCTTAGAGCCCGTGCAGCTTGCTCGCTGGATTTGCCTGTTAGACCAAGGAGAGGGGGCCCCAAAATCTGCCCAGTCTGATATTACCAGGAGGAGGAGTACAAAATCTCCCAATTGCCTGAGAATCTAGTCCATGTTTTCTCAACTCTAAGAGAAGCTACATTATATTCTGAAGTACTGTCTGCTAAGAATTGACTTTTCCAATTTAATATTTCTCAAATTATATTGTAACAATTTTAAGGTAGAAAGAACATGAACATATAAATTAGCCGTCAATTTACTAGTGAACAAATACTCGGAAATGGAAATACAGGGCAAAGAGAGAAACTAGAAAGCAAGCAAAAGGCGGGTGGGGGAGGGGCCCAGCTTCTTTAGAATGTGTCTGACATTCTGGTGTTTTGTAACCTAGACTCTTTTTCCACCTTTACTTCTATCCACTACTTCAAATTCTATTATCTTAGTTCCAAGAGGGCATTTGAGGAGAGAGACGGACAAACTAATGTGGTACAGGTTAACAAGAATGCAGAAAAATCTGGAGACCGCTTTTGAAGGACGTGCAGTCAGGATAAGAGGTTTATCTGTCTTTAAACATCTCAAGGGTGGTCAAGTACCAGAGACAGACACTTCGTTTCCTTTCTGGAGACTGAAGGCAATGGCAGCAATAACGGTGGTAGCACTTTGGGCTTAACACAATGTTATTCCTAAAAAGAAGAGCCATTTAACAGAAGGCGTTGCCTTGTGAGGTGGTTCAGTCCTAGCAGGAGCTCACCACAGATCAACCTTTCTAATTCTCTGAAATCTTCCACAACGCGATCTTTCTTCTTCTGGTCCAATTTAAAACTTAACTTGTAATATTTCAAACTATCTTTGCCTCACAGATCCTAAATATGTACACACACACACACAAAGACAAATTGATGCAGTTTGACTATTACTGACTTGGAAAAATATACTTTCTCTTCCAGGATGGCAAAATTCAGAATTAGAAGCATCAATTCTTCCAAGTTAAAATAATCTGTAAGTTAACTATAATAAAAATTATTTACTATATATACAGATGTTACATATATATAATCAACTACGACAAAAATCCTCATGGGATCTTTTATTTGGCAAAATGATTTTAAGATTAATCTTAAAAAAATGCAGAATAATCCAGAAATTTTTTTAAAAGAATAAAGATGAAGGAATTTGCCTTGATTTGCAAATATCAAAACATACCATTCACTAAGCAATTAAAAACTGGTTAAACATTTGGGAAAGAAATAGGTTAGTTAAATCTCCCCTTAAACAATGTGGATTAAAAATTTAAATGTAAAATACAAAACCACAAATAGCAAAATATAGGTCAATGTTTTTATAATCCTGAGACGAGAAAGACTTTCCTAAATTAGCATGCTACCAAAGGCAGGATCATGAAAGAATGTGCAGTTGGACTAGATAGAAATCAAAATTTTTGATTTGCAAAATTTTTTATTTCTATCTAGTAATACATCAAAAAGTCAAAGAATGCTGAAATTGGGGAGAAAATATACAATATATACGACAAAGACCAAAGACCTCCTACAATCAATATGAAAAAATTAGTTTCTCCATAGAAAAATAAGCTAAGGATGAAATGGGCAACTCGTAAGACAAAAAATACAAATGACCAACAAATATGAAAAGAAGGTAATCTCATCAATAATGAAAAAAAATTTGATTCACTGTTTTACCTATCTATCAATCAGAATGACAGAAAACAGGTGATAAATATATATACATAATGATGTCAGAGTGTTACTGATGATAAAAGCCCATCAACGGGGTGTGGTTTAAAGAAATTATAGTAAATCCAAAATGTAATAATGGAGCTACAAAATCGTTTTTATCTACTGATACAAAAAGAGCTTCATACATTAAGAGAACAAAACAGGGTACCTAATAGCAGCACATAAATCATCTTCTCCCCATGCTTAAACACAGAAAAAAATCTGAAAAGATATTTATCAAAAAGTTAAAATGGTATTTCTAGGTGTGGGATTATGGTTTTCATACTTCCTTTATGTTTTTCTGCATTTTAAGTATTTATTCATTTTCTTTCAACTACTGGTAACATCATTTTGTCTGACAAACTGCAGGCTAGTTACCTAGTAAGGCTGTGTTTTCACCCGCATCTTCTTTAAAGGTAGCATCGCACTGCGGCACGGACTCATTAGTGGAAGACGATGGCAAGTTGCTCCCATCACTTCTGTCATCATCTTCTAAAGTAATACTCAAGTTTGCAGCCAAAACGCTTCCAGGGGTCGATTCTGGAGTGGGCAGCTCCTGCTCATCCTCAAGCTCTCCCTTGAGAGTTAGAACAAAAGGAAACATCTTTTCTAAGTAACATGATCCAAGCTCACCTATCATCTTTTGCTCATAATTCATACAAAATATTTACTTTTATACATGGAATATGGCAAAAAGCACATCCATGTGTTCTTTATTTAGCATCATCAGAAAATGAATTACTTCTCAATGAGCAGCTTTTCAAGACCTAAATGCTTTTTTCTCTAAAATCCATTTTTCCCCTTGATACAAGCATGGCCACCTTTTAAACTATTTACTGCCGGAACGTGCTGTGTCACAAACGCACGTTCCTGCCGTCTTGAGCAGAGGGTGGGCATCGTCTGTCTGCCGACCACTTACGGCTGGAGCCGCGAGCTGGAAGTGCTGCCTCTAACTGCTGTGCTGTTTTCAGCGGGGCATAGGGAGCAAGGTTTCTGAACAACAAAGGGCTTCAGATTATATTTTGGTTCACTTAAAAATAATCACTTCTGGCTCCTTCCTTATAGACAGGGTGTCTGTCAGCTGTCAGTTTGCCACCAACTTCCCCCATCTGCTGCTTAAAGAAGAAAATAAGACAATGAAAGTGAGGGCTGGGACTCTACCTGCATTACTACATTAACTCTCCAAATCTGGAGCTATCCCGAAACCCTTTTTGATTAATACCAGAGTCAAAGCTGCGTTGTGATGAGAGGAGACTGCTGGTAACGTGACCCACTCAGTGACGCTACTGTGGGTTTCCTGTGGCCTGTGGCTGAGACGCCACCTCGGCTTCAAGAGAAAGCACCCACAGTCACGCCCCCTCCCCTCCTCTGGGCTCCTGGGACCAAGGGCACTGCTGGCCTGCTGCTCCCACTGCCAGCTCCACCAGTGTTCGAGAACCCTCCTCCACAGTCCGCATACCATGTGGTACACTGCCGCCTTCTCATGGGTAACTGAACACCCACAGGACACCACTCCTGACACATCAAGCAACAAAGCCTGTTGAGCTGCCATAATGTCCGAACTCCTGCTCAGCCCACCCTAATCTGTCTTTCCAGGTATTTATTGAACTATCTGCCAAACTTAAATAACTACTGCCAGCCTCAAACCCCACAGGTCCACAGTCATCAATCTGCAGTGCACTAATCTGTCGGACAAATCCTTTAACACCCAGCTCAGATCCCCTTTAAAAAGCCACTCCCTTTACCTTCCCCCTTTCCCCTGGGAGTCAATTCCTCCTTCCTCTGTGCTCCCACAGCAGTTCAAACACACCTCCATGCCATGCTGTGTGGGTATGCCCTGAGCGCTCACTAGTCCAGAGTGGAATCCACAAGAGCCCATGAGCAGAAGGCTGTGTCTTATTCATCTTTGTCTCCCTAGAGCCATGTTCAGACCTAGCACCTAGGAGAGCACTCCTTTGATAAATGCTTGCCAGATGAATGAAAATATTCAAGTTATGTGAGGCTGGCACATCAAAGTGGTTACAACCGCAAACCAAGGACCACCCCTGAAGTCTGTGTGGAGGATGCTACCAGGTCTCTCATTGCGTCATTTTCTTGCAAGTGAGTGTGTCATAACTATGCATAAAATCCAACGCAGGAGGGGTCAAGGGTCTAAAGAAAATGGCATAGTTGTCAAAAGAGGAAAAAAAGAATTAAAGGCAAGACAAGTTCATTTCTTAGTTTGACTTAAAGTTACTGTAGGCTTCTGTTCTTCAAAAAAGAAAGTAAGCTTTCTGGGAACACATAATCTAGCTTTCTGAAATTAACATTCTAAGAAAACAATTCAACTTTATGTAAAATGAAGAATCTTGCTTTTTAATATATGAAATGTTTATGTAGATATATTTCCAAAAACAAAACTCATAAGGATTAAAGTCTCAACGCTAAGGTCAGTGAAGTTCCTTAGATATGAATTTCTAGAAATGAAAAGCAAGTTTAAAATTACTGACTAATGAAGAAAATAACTTAAAATGAGCTTCAGAGTGTATCTAAGGAAAGAAAACTCTGCCAAGAAGACACCTGTCAAGCTCCTGTACCTATTGTTCAAAATGCTGTTCCAGGAAGGGGATCAGCCGAGCTCACGAGAAGGCATGTTACGCCATGCTAAAGTGAGCCATCATCATTAAAAACTATGAATAAACGAACGTTAGAAATTCTAGAGGGAAGACAAACTTTCTAGACATCAAAGCGGAAGTTTTCAGGCAGTCAGTCCTTGAACACTGACCTTCCCCCTTTCTGTGTACCTATGGTGAGGGCATTCTGGAACTCACACTGGGAAAACCTAAGTCATAGGAAAATCCAGTGGCTATGAAGGCAGCGGTCTCTCAACCATCCTCATGAGCTTGAAGCTGAGGGGCACCCGAAGCAGACCCGCCGCTCGGAGGGCTGTGACAGCTTTAAGTCACAGGAAATGATTTATTATCACAAAAAACCTCTTTGTAGTTTCCAACTCTATAATAAATGCTACAGAAAATTCTAAAAATATGTTTAGCAACAAGAAAAATATATTTGATATTTAAATTACTTCTTTCAAAGATCTTTACTTCAAAACTATTTAATATTTAATCAAGAATATTTTGACATATTAATAGATTATATGAAGACTCTAAAAACAACGTAAACTTAATCTAGAAAAATCTGTTTTTGCCTCCCTACGCCCTCCACTTTTGGGTAAGATAGTATTTAAGAGCTTGGACCCTGGAATTTAGCAAAGTTCTATCTGAAAGCTGATTCCCCATTAACTAGCTGTGTGACCTCAGATGAGCTACTTCAGCTTCTCCAAGCTCGAGTTTCTAATTAGCGAAATAGGAGGAGTACTAGCACTGACCTCGGGGGGCGGCTGGATGAAACGCAGTAACGCACACATGGCATTTGGCACACGGCTACCTACAATTACGCCTTCTCCTTCTGCCCCACTACCTCTGTGTTCTGAGGAAGGTCCTACGACCATCTAAGTATCTCAAACTGATGGAGCAAACTCCGCGCAGGACAGGTTTCCCAGCAGTATCTGACTTTGAAACCCAGGAATGGGGAGAACGGGTGTCAAGAAGTGTTGGCTTCAGTTTCCTCACGTGTAAAACGTGCACCTTGAGCCAGAGAAAGTTTGAGGCTCGTTCCATTTCAAACATTTTATAATGCCTGTTTATGCAAAACTGACTAGCATCTATACACTCTGCAGCATAGTATACAAAATATACTGCTCTAAGGTGTTACAGACTCTCTGGGGAAGCAGGGAGCATATGATTCTATAGTCACAGACTCAGTTCATCAGTTTTTTGGAATGTCTTAAGAATTCATTTTTAATAAAGAGGAAACTTTCTTCAGAGAACCACAAGGATATCAGAAGGAGCATTTACTCCATTCCTCTTGCCTCTGGTCAGTAATGAAATCCAGTCACTCAGGAAGAACCGGGGCAGAGATTGAATATAAACAAAAATGCAACAAACCCAATATCCCAGGGCTTTGATGACATCAAGTTTACACATTGGACACGTGCGGTGATCCAAAAGCCATGGGTCAATGCATATTCTATGAAAAATATGCCTAAAAAAATTAAGTATGTGTTAATGTTTTAAAACAAATGTTTATATCTTATAAAGGAAACAACACATTCCACCATCTCATGTTCTCATTACAAGTTAAATGTCAAATCAACATTCTAGTCTACTGACTTAACCCTAGGTAATTATCTATTCTATTTCCCACGTTAAACAGAACCTGACACTTATAAGGAAATTCTCCCTTCACTCCATAAAAACAGCATGGTTTATTTCCGCCTCATGCTAGCTTGTGTTTTTATGTACCTCTGTAAGGTACTTGAAAGCTTTCTGGCATACATGGCATATACGGCACATGTAAATGTAGTGTGAATAAACTAACAGTAATAAACTAACATGAAACTGATACTCCAATGGAAATACAGTAAAATATTAACAAATCATCTCTGGGTTGCAGGCTTAAACAACACATTTTCTGTCTTATGTATTTTTGTTTACTCTACACTTTTCTGTAACGAACACCTATCACTTTGAGAATCAAAAAAGGAAAACGGAAAAACCACATATGTATTTTCTTCTTCCACTGATGGGTCTAGCTGGCTAGCTTCTCCTCCTCTGTGGTGAACCTGTTTTCTATATGTGATGAAGATAAGGAGTTACGAACATGGGTACTGGAGCCTGACAGACTGGGCTCCAACACCAGCCGTGCAACTGCACATCGTGACTTTGACCCGGCTCTCTAACCTTGTTGCACCGACACCACAGGCTGTTCTGAGGAGGACACGTGTAAGGTCCCACACAGTGCTGGGGACAGTAAATACTTAGAGGAGGTGTAACGTCCCACACAGTGCTGGGGACAGTAAATACTTAGTCATTGTTCGTTATTACTGATGTTGTCTGAAGACCATCTCTTCAAACAGAAATCTGCTTAGTGCAGTTAAAAATAACATAATTACATAACGTAGTCTAGTCCAGCTTGTCTTTTGACCTTTCCACCCTCAAACTGAAACTGACTGATCCACAGGAATAACTGTCACAAAAACACAAAAGAAACATGTTGACTTTATTGGGAAATCTGTTAAATTAAGCACGGAGAAAATGGGGGCAAAAAATAAAATCTCAAGGGGACCAGGAAATGTGCAGAGGTAACACGTCTGCTTATGAAGGTCAAGTACAAAACCCGGCTCGGCCGTCAGGATACACCTGGTGCCAGGAAAGGAAACAGCGTCAGGCTGCTCATCTGTGCAGCATCCTAAATCAGAAAGACTTGCCCTGAACTGGCCTACAGTAAAAATTCTTTTCTATTTTAACAGTTTTCTACAGGACACGATCAGCTCATACTGCCCCCAATTCACTGAGTACCCACCACACCAACCCACATAAATGCCTGTAGATCTAAGTTAGCTATCTTTATTCAGAAAAATTTATTTTATTTGATACTCATTCCTCCACAGAATTACTGAGAACTTAATCTACTATAAACTACTGGTATATGTACAAAAGTACTTTGCAAACATAAAGCAAAACATAATTATATATTAACTTGTGACCTGCTTCTAATAGGTGGGAAATATAATTAAAACCAATCAGACTTCAAACATAATTTCTGTATACCTTTCTGCTAACAAAGCAATTCTTTTAAAAAGTTATTAAAGTATCCCATTAAAAAGGAAACATAATTTCCTCTTGCTTAAAAAAAAGAAAAAAGCCCCTGGCATACCCAGAGTAAAGGGAGGAATATTTATTTTACCCAACTCTAAAAATAACCCAAACCCAGGGTACAAATAATACTAACCACTGCCCTCCCCAACCCACTTTCTGCTGGTTGTTTCTGGCCTCTCCCAGGGTCTTTCCACCAGTCATACTTCTGTTTCCTTTTTCCCAACACAGCACACTTTCTTTTTTTGGTGAGGAAGATTGGCCCTGAGCTAACATTTGTGCCAATCTTCCTCTATTTTATATGTGGGATGCTGCCACAGCAAGGCTGACAAGTGCTATGTGGGTCTGCGCCTGGGATCCAAACATGCAAACTTAACCACGACACCACTGGGCCGGCCCCCATAGCACACTGTTTGCATCACTAAATGTATAATGGAATTCCCAATGAAGCCTTGCTTAGACTAAAAGCCAATCTATGAGAAAGGTATGTAATGGGTCTTAATGGTCACCTAAAGTCTCCTAAGCAAAGCAATTTTAAAGTAAACCAATACAGGAGGAGCCTTGAAGACTGGAAGCTTCTTTTCTAAAAGATGAGATGATCGCAAGATCATCACATGACAGCAAGACCTTCAAATCATGAAAGACACGTAACTCTGTTGTCAGAAACCTGAAACCTGTCCAGTAATTTTCACCATCTCAGGAGGTAAAAAGAACATACTTGCATGGCAGGATTCTGATAACATCCTTTACTTTAAAATTTTCAATACACACTGCACAATTTTCAGCATCAACATCGATTCCCTGCAAAGAGAAGAGGAAACAGTTTACTACATCCTTGGTAAATAGTATATCCTTGCTAAAACTCACAGCAACCTGGTAAAACAATGATGAATACTATTGGCATAACTTGTATTAAACACAGATTATCTCTACTCAGTATTTACTTTTAACCACTATCAAAAGATTCCTTAGAGAATTTGGCTGAAAAGGAAAAAAATTCATTGTCTATCAAATCAGACATGAAGAGTGTTTAAAGACTAGGCTACTGTTCATTTTTTTTGTTTGTTTGTTTGTTTTTTTTTTGGAGGAAGATTAGCCCTCAGCTAACTACTGCCAGTCCTCCTCTTTTTGCTGAGGAAGCCTGGCTCTGAGCTACCATCCGTGCCCATCTTCCTCTAGTTTATACGTGGGACGGCTACCACAGCATGGCTGCCAAGCAGTGCCATGTCCGCACCCAGGATCCGAACCAGCGAACCCCGGGCCACCGAGAAGTGGAACGTGCGAACTTAACCGCTGCACCACCGGGCCAGCCCCTACTGTTCATTTTTTTTAAGTGTTCATATTTAAGGCCTGTAGAAATGCAAATAAATGCTTTACTAAAATAATTACTTTTCAAATATAAAACTTATAAAAAGCATGAATATCCAATTAGCTACTTGTTTTCTGGAATCATTAAAAACAAAAGTACTTTCATTAGAATCTGCTAAAGAACAGAGTTACCACTCACAAATGAGAAAATGCAAATAGTTAAATATCTCAAAATATTCACCTCTCTAGTGATAAAAGAACTAAAAATAAAAATACTGGTTTTTATCTATCAAATTAACAAAGGTAAAAAGAAACAAAAATTGCTGAGGAGGAAGCAGGCTTGTGACAAAATTTCCACTTCTAAGAATCTATGGGTCACAGACCTTTTTGGTAGTCAGTCACCCTGCCTTCCCTGGGTCCCCCCGGATCTCTCCACCTGGCCTCATTCCATCACCCAGAGCAGGTGGGCCAGAGCAGTTTTGTGACCCAAGACAGGACAACGAGACTCCCAGGATTTGGGGATGGGGATTTGGGAACTACCAATCAGTGTGTGCGTGTGGCTGCAACTCGAGCAAGTTAATTTTGTGGAACATGGCTATACTGTCCTTATGCACTTATTTTAAAACATATTTAGCCATGTGCATCACTTGCTAACAAGAAGTAAAAATTGATTTTATATGTAGATACTGTTATCAGATTGTATTAAAATTAATTTTGCAACACTTAAAATTATATGTTGCAACTAAAGTGAACATTATGACTTATTTATCAAGAGCCATACAAGAATGATGAAATAATTTTTAAAGTTCGTAATGGTTTGAAGTTTATGCATTACTGTGAATGAGTCCACAAGAGAAAAAAAAATTAGAAAACAAACACCAGTCTCTAGAACTGGACAAAACGTAGATTTAAGAAAACACATTTTTCTGCAGAAGTTTAAAATGTAAAATTTTCAGAAAATCCATGTATATACCTCATGGACCATTTATGGCTGTTTTTTCTAACCATTATTGTGACAACTTTCAAAAAACAGTCTGTGGAAGCATATTTTCAAGAATGTTCCATCCAGGAAGAGAATAATATCAACTTGCTTATGTTCTCAAAGACCCAATTCAGTAAATTAAACATATGAATCTATGTCTTCTCATAGTTACGGACTGAGATTTCCTGCTACTGGAGAGAAGGCATGTCCCAGAGGAGCATGAGAGCACACGCCTGTCCAGTCACGGTCTGCCGAGCGCATGTGGAGTTTATCATGGGTGTCCCTGGAGGCCCCCAGGACCCTCAGTGGGTGGTAAACCAGATGTCAGTCTTACTTAACACTTGAGATGGCAATTTTTTTTCACTTTTTCTGTTCCACATGAAAAGAAGCCAGTACCTTCCACAAACTATTAAAATTCAACTGGTACTACAAGGTAAAAGGCATTAGGGAAGTAATGGCAGCCAACAGCACAATTCCAAGAGTATCTTAATATTAAAGATATCACATAAACCATCAATATCAGATTCCAAAGTTTTAAAGTCAAAGGTCTGTAATCTAAATAGTGTTTTGTTTTAATCTTTTAAGTGGGTCAGAGGAAGGGATATATACCATAAGTGCAGCTATTCCTTTTTTTTTTGGAAAGTGGAGTGGTGACTAGAGGGTGTAAGAGATTAAGTTTCAACAACTTAGTGAGATAAAATGAAAATTGAAACAACTGAACCAACCCATGACTCTGTCAACAGTTATCAACATTTCACAGCACAGAAAATGGACTATTAAGAGAATCAACACCACTGCCTTAGACTGTTTTCCTTCTAAGGAATCTATCCTCTAAGAATCTGAGGTTCTAGATTTAGGGTTTATCCTATTCCAAAAATGCTTTAAAACTCTGGTATGATTTTGGCTTTTTAAGTCTCAAGCTGGCCATGCCAAAATGTTTCTTTTTTTAAAAAGTAGTTTTTATTTTTTGCTGAGGAAGATTCACCCTGAGCTAACATCTGTTGCCAATCTTCCTCTTTTTGCTTGAGAAAGACTGTTGCTGAGCTAACGTCTGTGCCAGTCTTCCTCTATTGTGTATGTGGGTCGCTGCCGCAGCATGGCCACCGACGAGTGGGGTAGGTCCTCACCCAGGAACCAAACCTGGGCTGCCGAAGCAGAGTGCACCAAACTTAACCAATAGTCCATGGGGCCAGCCCCAAAAAAGTAGTTTTAAAAACACCTTTTTTCAGGGCCGGCCTGGTGGCGCAGTGGTTCAGTTCATGTGCTCTGCTCTGGCGGCCCAGGGTTCGCAGGTTTGGATCCTGGTGAGGGCCTAGCACTGCGTGTCAAGTCACGCAGTAGTGGTGTCCCACATAAAACAGAGCAAGATGGGCACAGATGTTAGCTCAGGGCCAGTCTTCCTCAGGCAAAAAGAGGAGGACTGGCAACAGATGTTGGCTCAGGGCTAATCTTCCACACACACACACTCACAACATTTTTTCTCCACAAATCCCAATATTTTCTCCCTGTAATTAAGGAAATCAGAGAGAATGGACACACAGTCTCAGATTTAACAGAGATGAATTTAAAGTATCAAGGGTCTACGGTATAGACTTTAACTTTAAAATCACCTGTATCTGACCAACAGGTAGAACTTCCTTCGATGATGGACATGACAGAGCCATCCAGTATGGGAGCAACTGGCCAATGTGGCCATCTGAGCATTTGAAATACAGCTAGGGTGACTGAGGAACTGAATTTTAAGTTTAATTCATTTAAATTCAAATAGCCATATGTGGTTAGTGGCTACCTGTCCGACAGCATAGGTCTAGAAGGCTCTTTGAATATACTGTCATCTGCTGTATAATGACCTTTCGGTCAACTATGGACCACACATGTGATGGTGGTCCCATAAGATTAATACTATATAGCCTAGGTGTGTAGTAGGCTATATACCACCTAGGTTTGTATAAGGACAGTCTATCATGTTCACACGACAAAACTGCTTAATGACACATTTCTCAGAACGTACCTCCGTCATTAAGCAGTGACCGTATAACAGAATATTTCTGCCAACTCTTCTTTAAAATGAACACATATATGAAAGTTAGAACTAGCCCAAACACCATATGTTTGATACTGTGAATTCAGCAGACTGGAAAGTATTACTTAGACATATAAACAGATAGGTAGTTTAAACAAAAAAAGAAAAGGAAAAAACACCCCACAAGAATATTACCTTTTCTCCATGTTTCACAGTATGAAGAGGAAGCTGGCCAATAACTTTCTTAGTTTCTTTTCTATGGCTCTTAGGTAGGAAAAATATTACTATTATTATTGAAAATTTTAAGTGACTATTTTTAAAAATTCACATATTATAACAAGCTTACAGAAATTTTTAAAATTTCATTTAAAAAGCAAAGTTAAATGGCTATTATGAAAAGAACTTTAAAAACATGACCATTTAAGTCTTAATGTATAGGATAGTCACATGTAACTTAAGAGCTTAAGAGTACCTATTTTCAATTCTTGATTCAGCATCTGAAGAAGAAACCAATTCTTAAGTCCAAATATTGGCAGGAAAGTAGTAAGCTGAGGACGAGGGTACCACACACTCGTCTACTAACATCCCTGAAAGGAAGGAGGCTTCCTGGTTGTCGGGTGGAAGACAATCCAGACAGGACCGTGCACTGCCCACAGAGGCAGGAAGGGCTACTTTTCAAGACCACGGAGCCAAGTGTGAAATTCAAGAAGCCTGCCCTTGGAAGCCTCTGGCCCCTCACCTGCCCTCCTCTTGGCCGTCACTGAGACAGTGCCTGTCTGCACATGGACGGCCGTCAAAGTTGCTCCACAGCGGAGCCTTCAGGCCCGGGGCTCTTTGTAAACACAGAATCAGTTCCCTCTACCTCATGCCTTTTTGTCATTCCTTTATGTCTGGAAAAGGACAAAAGGGTATTTGCAGGAGCAAAACGTGCAAAATGCGATTTAAGGGTATCTAATTTCCCACAGAACAGAAAACTTAATATATTCTAATTTAAAAGTTATTTTCAAAAAAATCATAATGCTATTTAAATATTACGAGTAAAAATGAAATTAAGCGTATGGTCCAAGAAAAAACTACGGTCTAATATAACTTCAAGCGATACATATATGGGAAATATTTATAAACTATCCTTTAAAAAGCAAAGTTAAAAAGAGTTATCTACAATTACCTGACTTCCAAACTGTGAGCTCGTATAGAGGAAACGCTGTATGTAGTAAAATATTAGCCAGGCTAATGAGATAATCATCATGGTGATGAAGGCAATGGCCACAAACACCACGGACTGGCCACCGATGAACTCCTGCACGTGACGGGTGCCAACCCCTATGGTCATCTTGACTGGAATTCCTTTTTGCACCAGATCCAATATTTCTCTTCCTTTTGGGTAGCTAACCATAATGACCACTATATTTCCTGTTCCTGTAGGAAAGAACAAAGAAATCAATATAAAGAACACAAAATACAATACAGAGAAATAAGATACTCATTTCATAGCAGAAATGAGTACTATGTCCTGTCTATGCACACATCTGAAAACTTTGATAAAATGGGTAATTTTCAAAGAAAATGTAAATTACCAAAACTGGTCCCCAAAGAGAAAACAGACTGATTACATTAGAAGTAGAATAAATCAGCCCAGCACTGATGGCCTAGTGGTTAAAGTTCAGCACACTCTGCTTTGGCGGCCCAAGTTCATTCAGTTCCCAGGTGCAGAACCACACCACTCATCTGTCAGTGGCCATGCTGTGGTGGAGGCTCACACAGACGAACTAGAAGGACTTACAACAGAACATACAACTATGTACTGGGGCTTTGGGGAGGAAAGAAAAAAAAGAGGAAGATTGGCAATAGATGTTAGCTCAGAGCGAATCTTTCCCAGAAGGAAAAAAACAAAGTAGTAGAATAAATCACTGAGAACTTATTCCCCCACCAAAGCAAGAGTCCCATTCAGTTTCATAGGTGAATTCTACCAACAAACCTTTAAGGAACAAGTAATACCAATGACACTTAAATTGTTCCATAGATTAAAAAAATAAGTTTTAAAATTATTTGTAAGATAATAAAACCAAACATGGTAATTAAAAACAAACCAAAGAACCATACAGACCAATTTCACTTATGAACATTAATACATAATGCCTAAAGCATGCCCATTAAACTCAGAGAGGCCATCTGAGAATTTCTACTATGATCGCTATTATTTAATGTTGGTCTGAATGCACGAGCAGACAAAAGACAAAAAAATAAGAGAAATAGAAAAGAAGGGGTAATCAATTTTACACAAATCTACCTATAAATTAATGCATAAAGTATCAATAAGATTTTTAAAACCTTAAAAATGCCACTTCTAAAGTTCAGTTAAGGGAAAAATAATCGAAAATGATCAGGAAAACTTTTTAAACATTAAAACCTGGACTATAAAGTAATTACAACAGTGTGATAATAACATACGAAGATGACCAGAATAATGGGACAGGATAAAAAGTCCAGAAACTAGACCCCAAGACATAAGAGAACTTAGTACAGTCATGTGCCACATAACAACGTGTTGGTCAATGGCAGTCCGCATAGACAACAGCAGTCCCAAGAGATTGGTACCCTACAGCCAAGGTGTGCAGTGGGCTGTACCATCTACGTTTGTGTAAGGACACTCTATGATGTTCACAAGACCAAATCACCTAATGACTCATTTCTCAGCACATATCCCTGCTGTTAAACAACGCATGACTATAAATCATACAAATGGACTTTCAAATCAGTGGGGTAAAATGGATTACTAAAAAAATAGTGTGGGGGCAACTAGCCAGCATCTGAGGAAAAAGAAGCTGCATCCCTTTCTCACAACTTATGCCAAATTAATTCCAACCAAATACAAAATTTAAATATTTAAAAAAGAGTAAACATAAAAGAGCCAGAAGAAACACAAAAATTAAAATTAGAGAAAAACTTTTCCAAGTATTGGAGGTTCTCAGAGGTTCTAAAAAAAAAGAGGATTGGACCAACTATATAAAAACAAAATTTTCTGCACTGACTAAAGGAGAGGAAAATCAAGGAATCCAGATCTACAGAGCAAGTGGCCAACTGGGGAAAATTACATGTAACATAACAAAGACAAAAAAAAATTTCCTATAAGAAAAAGAGCAAAAGAAAAACAAAGGAAATGAAATCAGTCTGCAGAAAAGAAAATAAGTTTTTAAAAAATAGCATCGTTAGCGAGATATAATTCACATGCCATACAATCTACCTTTTGTAAAATGAATAATTCAGTGGATTTTAGTATATTCACTAACACTGTGCACCCATCATCACTATCTAATTCTGTGCCATTTTCATCATCCCCAAAAGAAATCCTGTACGCATTAGTACTTTCCAATAGATGGACTTTCCAACAGATGGATTTTAAACATACGAAAAATCATGGTACAAATGAAAACATCATACCTATAAGATCAGCAAAGATCAAAAAGCTGGATACACTATATCGCAAGAGTGTGCACAAATCTGCACACTGCTGGGGGAGTGAATTATTACAATCTGGTATGGAGGGCAATGGTTATCAAAAAATCTTTAGGGGCTGGCCTGGTGGCGTAGTGGTTAAGTTTGTGTGCTCTGCTTCGGCGCCCCGGAGTTTGCCGGTTTGGATCCTGGGCTTGGACCAAGCACCACTCATCAAGCTGTGCTGTGGTGGGATCCCACAGAGAAGAACCAGAAGGACTTACAACTATATACTGGGGCTTTGGGGAGGGAAAAAAATATTTTTTAAATGCACATGTCTCTTTGACCCAGCAATTCTGTGTCCAAGAACTTAATTGCACAGATATACTTACATATGTACGTGTTGGGTATCTACAAAGATACTTATTGCCAGTATTTTTTCCATTTTTGCCATCACAATCTAAATGTCCATCAATAAGAAAACAGTTATATAAATTACAGTATGTGTACAAGATTGAGGCAGCAGCTGTTAATACTGATTGTACTAAAGATAGGAGAGAAAAAAGCAACATGTAAAGCTGTGGACAAAAGATCTATATGGTCATATCAATAGAGACAACTCTGGAAGGCTACCCTGGGGACTGAGGACCCTGAACATCTCTGGGAGAGGACTTGGGCACAGTAAAAATTCTGTACCGTGTGCATGTATTACTTACTCAAAAACCAACTTTAAAACACATATAAAGAATGTTCCCTAGCTCACACTGAAACCACATTATAACATTATTTTATTGTGTAGAGGATGTTAACCTGTAGCAAATCCACTGTGGCCCTCAGTCATCAGTATTTAGTTACTGAAACACCAGAAGGGCACCCTTCTAAGGTGGCTCCTGTCTGGAAGCTGATCCTATGACCCTGGCCTAAAACTGTCACTTTAGCAAGAGCTGTAGCTGTCTCAAAACTCACATAATCACCATGTAATCCCTGGGGAAATACAATAAGGAGTAAGGCGTTTCCTGCCTTCAGGAAAAGAAACGTCTAGTAGCTCAGAAAGACAGGTACAGAAACAATTATGGTGGTGACACCACTTATAATTTTACGGCACTTTACAAAGTCTTTTTCATAAACCTCCTTTTGTGGAATTTTCATTATCGTTTTACACGAGGGCTCAGAAATCTTAAGAGAGCTACTTGATGTCATACACCACCCGGAAAAGCCAGTGCCAGGGTCTGAAGACCCAGCTCCTTCATAGGAGCCCTGCGCTGCGCCCTTGCTGTGGGGGACACAGGCGTCAAAGCCACACAGGCTAGGTTCAAATGGCACTCTTCTCCGCCGTCTGGGTCTTCTCCGAGATTATTTCTTCAGCTATAAGATGGCGGTGAGAATTTTTCTATTTTAGACTGTTGCTTATTTAATAAGAAAGTGGAGTAACAAAAGAGCAGCAGAAATGAAATGATAATTTTGTCTGGGGTGGGAGGGACCTCTTTCCTTGGGAGTTAATTTGAGCTACATCTTGAACGACAGGAAGCGTTTACCAAAGGAAGGAAGTTTTCTAGGCTATGAAACCATCATAAAAACAAATTTGGGATGGTGACTGGTCCAGTTGGGTTAGTGACTAAAATATATGTAAAGGTATCTTGTCTATTTTACCCCCAATGCCTCACATAGGAGCTGGCACATAGTAAGTATTTAATGAATCCTTGTTGAATAAATGAACGAATGAGTGAGAAGTGGAAGATGAACTGAGATCAGAGAGGTTCTTGAACACCTAAAAATATCTGAAGGGGCTGGCTACTGACACACGATGATTATCAGAAGGGTACCCTGAACTGAACACACTTGCAATGTCAATCTGAAATTTTCAACCTAGGAAATTAATCTTAGTTCACTGAGTTAAAAGAAATCATTTAAAAAAAATACTGTGCCTGGCATGAGGGTTAAACTGTTTACTATAGTACTATAATTATAGCAGCAAGGTTGCTTCTGGAAACTACTTTAAATTAATAAAACTCAGAATGAAGACTCATTCTATTCTTGTGATTTGCTTTTCTGGGACATTTTTTGGGATGCACTGCAGGCAGGGCAGTTGAATAAAAATGCACGAGCTTGTGGTCACCACGTGTACAACCCCAAACAGTGCCAGGCACCGGTGCTGGGTCTTGCCCTGCCCTTACCTCCTGATGCCCCGTCTCCCTGGGCCAGCCCCAGAGAGCCTTATAGGCACATGAGAGCAAATCACAGTTTATTTCCAAACTAAACAGCTGAATTTCTTCACGGAAGGCACAGACACTCGAAGGGTCAGCAGGGGGTAGAAGAAGCCCTTAGAATTTTTTTCTTCCTTAGGCCTTAACTTTGCTACCAGTCACGTTTGACTAAAGGTCATCTTGGCACCCCTGTCCCTCCCCGAAAGAACCTGCACGCTCACCATTAGAAAGGAAGACCCTTGAAGGTAGTTTATTTTTGTCTTACACTTAGCACAAGATCTTCCCACATAGTACGCGACGATCATAAACCTACTTGTCAAATAATAATAAATATGAAATACGGTATTTTCCAGCAAGCCCAATTATCCACAATATAAAATTATTCTGTGCCAAAAATAAAATTATGTGTACTTCTGTTTCCTTTCAAATTTGTGTTCTCTTACCACCTTGTCGAAAACATAAAAACGTAAAAACACATATTGGTCAACAGCTTCAAAACTCTGACGGGTTCCATTTGAGTCTAGAGTACCAGTACTCCTCCCAGGGAAACTAAAGTACTATTTCAACATTCTCTTGAAGTAGATCAGAACTACTGAAATACTTAAAGTACTGGATTAGATTTCTGTTCTGGAAACTAATTCAGGCAGCAAGAAACACACTTTAAAGTTCCAGTTAAAATAACCCCACGAACTGTAAGGCTTTCTTTTTTCTAATAACTTACTTTCCATACTCTCTCCACCTTTTTTCTCCCAACCTGGAGAATTCCTGGTCAAATCTTGAAGATTCAGCACAAACTCAACCGAAGGCTTTTCAGCACCACCCATCCCCTCCCTTTGCACGCACAATGCCTCTTAGATGTACACCGATCGCAATTCCCTTATAGGTCTCTCTTTCCCTCACTAAATGAGCACTTCCTGCTCTTATTTATTAGTTTTTGTAGCCCAGCATCACGCAGTGATGGCTCATGGAAGAGATTCTGTACGAAAGAAATCAATACGAAAAACTGGCTAATCTTCTGGCATTATTGTTGAAATGACCCAATAAGGAGAATATTATAGACTCATTTGCAGGGGAAATAGTACACCAAATACGAATGTCAATATCTCCAAAATTTGAAGCTATTACACAAAACAGAAACATTTTTATAGGGGGCCGGCCCCGTGGCTGAGTGGTTAAGTTTGTGCGCTCCGCTGCAGTGGCCCAGGGTTTTGCTCGTTCAGATCCTGGGGGTGGACACGGCCCCGCTCATTAGTCCATGCTGAGGCGGTGTCCCACATGCCACAACTAGAAGGACCCACAACTAAAATATACAACTATGTGCCGGGGGGATTTGGGGAGAAAAAGCAGAAAAAAGTTTTAAAAAAAAGAAATGTTTTTATAGTTTGCTAGGGCGCGTGAGGAAATAAGTGCGATTCTCTTCTTGGAATTTTAAATTATGTTTCGGATAATTTGGCTTGCTCAAAAATATTTTGTATTTGTTGAATATACTACTCAACAATTTTATTGAGAACTCTTTGCACTTTTCCTAAAAGCATTACTTTATCTCAGGCCTTCAGCCTTTTGCAATGTTATTCCTGCCACCCAGAATGTCCGATAACCCACCCACCCCTACGGCACTCCACACGCACCCAGAGACACCCTGTCCACCAACTTAACTTGTCCTTCAAAACTCAATCTTTCTGGGAACAGTCCTAGTTAATCCCACCCTCTATGAGGCTGTGAGATGCCCTTTCTTCCTAGAGCACCAAAATACATTCTAAATTCAAATCTAAATTTTTAGATCACTTATGAGAGAGTAGCATTAAAGACCATCAAGTATTATTCAATCATAAAAGTCTATTTACCATGCTTTGCAAATAAGAGACACACCTCTCTCTCAAGGTCAGAGGCTTCTTAGGCACCTCCATAATCTCCCTCCACAACTCTGGCCGCTTCCCCAGACACAGCCCTAAGCCCTGCCAGCACTTGGTAAACAACTGCTCACAGAATGAAAGCGCCATTTTAAACGGCCACACCAAGACTTCAGCTCAAGGATCACCCTATTCATTAATCAAGAATAACCACACCAAGGCTAATACCCCATAAAAGCTTTCGTTTCAATGGTTGGCTTGTATCATTTTTACCTCTCTTGGTAAAACTAATTTCTACATAGTCATCTTTGCAGATAATTCCGTCAAGGTCCAAACCGTATCATCTGGAAAGTTCTGTTTATCACCCTCACTAGGCCACAAACTCCTCAAAGGCAGGCAGGCGTGTCTCAGGCATTTCTACCCCTGAGGAGGCACAATATGTGGCCTAGACTGGCTGCTCGATACGTCTGCTAAAGTCAAGGGAACTGACTTTAGGCATCAGGGCAACAGTCCTTACAGCTGTTCTGATAGAATATTATCTTAAAGTCACAATTTATTTTAGAACCACAATAAAATAGTGATTTAAATCCAAAATACTTTGTATTGGATTCCAGTAGAAACAAGCAACAGGTTTAAGAAAATCTGGAGAAATTCTCCTGGAGACTTGGGAAGAAACTATATTGATTTGATTTTACAACCAGCCACCTCTGCCTACTTTGTAGAAGACCAGTGTTACAGAGGAACAGAGACCTACTGAATCCGTGGTTTTTACTGGTTCTAGCCACATTCTGACAAAATGCAAGAAACCTAAGTCTGAGCTGCCTTCAAAGGTTCTGTGTAACATTTCAAATTCAGTTATGTCAAAGGTGCTTCCTCTTCCAACTAAATTCCCTTCATTCCATTCTTAATTCTATTCCATTTTCAAAAAGTCATGATACATTTGAACCCTCGGCCCCAATGAGGCCAGGTTCTGAGAGGGTCATTCTTTTCCATTTCCATAGTCACCACTATAGTATTGGCCCTTGTATTTCTAATTGGACTAGTCCAACACTCTAGGTGGATTCTGTTTACAGCTCTTCCTCTTTTTAATCCATTAGTCACACTGCTACCTAATTAATTTCCCTTTAGTCATGGTTCAAAACATTGGACAGTTTTGTCATCCCCTCTCCCCCCGGACATTTGGCAACATCTGAAGACATTTTGGGTTGTCACAACTGGATGAGCGCTACAGGAATCTAATGGGTAGAGGCCAGGGATGCTGCTAAACGTCTTGTAACGCACAGAACAGCCCCTCCCCCAACAAAGAAAGATCTGGCCACAGACTACCTTGTTTCCTTGGGCGAGTCATTTAAATGCTTTGAGCATCAGTTTCCTTATTTGTAAAATTGGGTTAGAGTGTGTACCTTAGAGGCCTGTCAGGAGAATTATGTGAGCTGCTCGCTGTATGGAGAATACTAAGCACAGGGCCTATGCGCTGGGTACTTTCACACATTTTTAAAAAACTGCTAACTCTGTTACTTTTGTCTTTTTTCTCAAACAGAATTATTCTCACCATAAAAAGGCTAGAATGGACACTGATAAGGGGAACAGAAACTCATGAGAAGAGGATTTAAAATAAACATCAACCAGGTGTTTTTCTGGGTCTGGATAGATGCTATGTCAATAATATAAGCAAGCAAAGTTGCTGAAGCATGAACAAGCGCTACTAGCCTGGAAGGATGTTCATGTCATCATCAAAAAACGCAGTAAACAGACTGAGAAAATTGTAGGCTGACGAGCCCTCCACTGAAAACAAAAGGTCTACCTTAAGATGTTGTAGACTCAGAAGTGATTGCAAGGACCCAGGATCAGAGAATTCTGACACACTAACCTCTTTTCTTTGACAGAACTACTAAAGTTGGGGAGCCCTGTGGACAGAATGTATCTGGAACGTGCCATGTGAAATCTGACAGGACTTTTCATGACAGCCTTGTGGAAACATGGCTTGGGTACAGAGATAATTAGGCAGACCTGTCATCACTGGAATAATTGCACCAAAGGTGGTGCCTTGCCCAATGCCACCACATGGACACCTGCTTCCATTTCCTCTCCAAACCACTTCTTTTCTGTTGCAACTGAGGGATTTCCCCCCTACTGAGGCCAACCCCTCCACAAGTATCCTGGACAGAGTCTTCTTCCCTTATCACAGGCCTGACTCTTTCAGTTACCTCTTCTCTACCGTGGATCTCTACTAGATGCCTCCTACCCAATTTCCAATATGCCTCCCACTGTCCATCCCACCCTCCCCCACCCTACAGTTTCTGCCCATTTCTCAGCACCTCCCAAACCCTCACAGCCAACCTCAAAAGAGCTGTTTTAACAATCTTCACTTCCTCACCTCTCAACTGACTTCCGTTCCTATCACTCTGCTAAACTTGGCCAAATCCAAAGTCACTTTTCTGTCCTCATTTTACTGATAAGGTTCTGAATTTGCACTCAAGAAGCCAAAACAGAATGCAAAACAAAAGTACAAGAAAAAGGATGTCTGACCGGCAGCAGCAGAAACTTTAAAAAGAGATTTTAATCACAGTAACTTGAGAATGAGTCATGATCTTAGAAGGCATAACAGAAGTATGTTCACTTTGCTGTGTACTGGTCGTCCAGCATTTGAAATTCACTTCGGAGCATAATATCTTGCAAAGCAAGACTTTTAAACTATCATTAATGCTTGAAGAAGCAACCTGTTGCCCTGGGGAATACCTGTGCATAGGAAGGGTCGCCTGGCAAAAAGCAAGACCTTTTCTTGAATGAACACAACTTTAAAAATTTCATCTAAAGCCTCAAGGGATCTGATTGGCAACAGAGCCAGTATTATAACCTAATATTTAGCAAGAGAGAAAACATACTCGAACTTAAATCCAGATTTTCTGACTCAAAGTTTAGAATATTTAGATATGTTTTATGAAAGTGAAGAAACCAGAGTGCCACCCAGCCACCACTTTACGCTGATGAAGGGACAGCCAGACCACGCAGTGCGTAGGCAAAGAGGTTCAATTCCTACCCGACCTGACTTTGGGAAACGCTGAATTTTGGAAAGGGACCCATGATTAGGAATCATGAGACAACTCACCGATGAGAACCACAAGCCTCCTGTGGGTTTCATTTCTTTCGTTCTCCTCATTGCCCTCCTGCAGAGGGCACCTCCCTTCACCTGGACGACCCAAGGCGAAGACCTCATCTCATCTGCTGGCTTGCCTCCCTCCTAATAGCAGCCCGGGGGCACACCGAGCACCTCTAGTCTGCCCTGAGACTTCCTGACGGCTACAGGCCGTCAAAGTAGCGCCCCCGGCCCATCTCGCCGCCCGCCCGCCCGCCCCTGGGGATCAAGGCGGAGGAAGAGAAGGCCACGGGCCACGACCGCGGCGCAGACCCCTGCCACCTGCCCGCGCCCCACGGCTCGGCTCACCCGCGTGGGACATGGGAGCGGTGAGGTTCCCATAGCGCTCCTCGTTGTAGAGGACCACGGCCGAGGCGTTCCTCTGCGCCGCCAACACCACCTTGTCCTTGAAGGTGCAGCCCCCGCGCGCCACCAGGGCGACCCAGGGCGCAGTCCCCCGGCCGCCGGGCGCGGGCACGAGGAAGCTCGTGTCGGGCGCGCAGCCCTCGGGGTCGCGGTCCGCCGCGCGCGGGACGCCCACCAGGCCCTGCGCGCCCTCCTTGGGCGAGCTGTCGCCGAAGCGGCCGCTCTCCGAGACGCTCCACACGGTGCGGTTCGTTTGTGGGTCCACGTACTCGGTGCTCACCACGGCCGAGTACCACTCGAGCGCCCGGCCCCGGGCCCCGCGCGCGCACAGGGTCAGGGCCAGCAGAGCCAGCGCGCCGCGGGCCCCAACGCCGGCCCCGGGCGGCCGCCGCCACGCCATGGCCCCACGGCCGGGCAGACGAGGAGGGGGCCGGGCCGGGAGCCGGGGGACTCCTTGGCCGGAGGGCACGCGCCTGCGAGGCCGCCGAGGAACGCGGAGGAGCGGGCGCCCGCCGCCGAGCCCGGGAAGAGCCAGGCGGGGCGGCGGCGCACGCGCACCTGGCGGCGCAGGGGGTGGGCGGAGCGCAGAGAGGGGCGGGGCGATGGAGGGAGGGACGCCCCGCCCCC